TATATATGATGAACAAAAGAGGATATGAAGTTGTATAGTTTGCTTCACATGGTTTCTTGAGGAAGTCATATGAGCAGATTTTGGAGAGGCTGGTTTGTTGTCTTTAACGCAGTTTTTTCGCAGCAATCAAGGGAACAACCTTAGTCAAAATGATTGACAAAGTACAGGACTGGACGGTTATTAATTGCAGCAACTTCAGGAAAAAAAAGTCAATTCCCTATATTTTGCAAATAAACTACTTAATTGTAATTCTATGAACTACATATATCTGACATATTGTAAAGTTTGAGAAATGTCATCATGTTTATATTATGTAAAGGTCCCTGTTGATGTTAATAAAGCATATTTTTCTGATTTTGGATAAGTGGTTAGATGGTTTCATTATAGGCTGAATTAAAGGGTCACTATGTGAAATACAACTGATAAAAATAAGAGTGCATGCAGCGTCAAACAGTACATGATTGTAGAACACATTTGCTAATCTCTAATTTTTATCAAGTATGAATTTCCATCCAAAATGCTTTTGTGCAGGTGGATTTAGATATATTATATAAAACTCTAGCAAAGAAACATAAGGAGCAACATGAACAAATTTAAAAACTAAAAGCAGTTTTCTATTTCACGTGAGAATAGGTATTTTCCTTGGATTTGGTTCCTTGCTAAATATCAACAAGTAAACAAAGTTGCACTCTCTTGCTGTGTCCAGGTAACACAAAAACTTTATTGGTTGGAGGTGAACCATGAAAAAATGTGATTGTATTGGCTAAAAGTTATGTAAAGCATGTCATGTCAGCATACACTTTCTCCTTAAGAAAATGTTCATAAAAGATTTTTTTCATTACACAGTATAAGTTTTCAAGATAATCTGACAAATACTACAGGTAAATTACAGATGTTACTTTTCATTTTTTACTTAAAAAAGTTGATATTGATTCATACCAAAAGTTGAAGCAATGAACCATTTATCATATTACAAGTGGCGAATGAGATGCAATACCAGGAGGCAAAGTTTCTAGGCTATGAGGCTTATTGCTCTGTCTAATCATTTTTTTTTTCTATCTAAGAATTGCATCTTTTGTACAATCTTTTTTCCTCATGATTTGACCCAGATCAAATTGAGGAATCATAGTAGGAATACTATTAGAATTTTCTTTGATCACATAATCCATGGCAAAAACAGAAGACTATTATCCAAAGGTTTCTAGATAACCAACATTCATGCTTATCATACCAAGGCTTTTGCTTTTCTAACAGAAAGAAAACTATCAATTACATCATGTAGCTCTATTCTACTATTTATACACTTTTTTGTTAGGTGCTGTTATTTTTTTTCTTTTCTTATCAGCAATATAGAAATAGACTAAATAATCATGCAAAAAGCAAATACATGGCAATTAATATGATCAATGCTTGAAACTTTTTAAAGTGAGACATGGATCTTGTAGTATAATCGACAACAAAACAAAATCAAAATCCTTGTGACAAAAAAAAAGGGCAACACAGAATTCGGTTTCTTAGACAAACTTAAGAATAGAAGATACCAACTTCTTGGAGCAAAAGATACACACCAAACAGAGCAGCCAGCTTCAATTGAAGAAACAGGTTGACGTTTTGTAAGCACATGCAAAAGAAATGGAAAATAGTATATGAAAAGGTAAAAAAAAAAGCTGTACAATAAAAAAGAAAAACTGAAGAATGAGAGTAGTAGTGCCAAACATAGACCCCATTTGGAAGGTGAGTTTTTTGGGTGTTTGTCTAAAACTTTACTGTAACTTGCTGTAGAAGTTTTTTAAAACCAAGAAAGGAAGTTATTCTCTGTACAATTTGGCCCCTAAAAAATGTCTCAGATTTTCTTCTTTATCTGTTTTGGCTGATTGGCATTGTTCAATGCACAGATATGCTTCATAACAATTGATTCCTGATATAGGAAAGAAAATCAGATAAGAAATTTAGGGGCCAAATTGTATAAGTTTCAACTTGTGTGGTAAATTATAACTATCCCCAACTTCGTGTCCATCAAATTATGAGGTGTGGCCGAAGAGGTTTTTTATTTTTTATTTTTATTTTTTTTATATCAATTACTTCTATAGAGCTTGATAGTTCTTTGATGGAGACTTGGAAGCATGTTCTTAATTCAAGCCAAAAATTGTTAGATTTTGGTGATTTTGAGGTCATTGATGTTTTTCTTTTAAAAAATTAGATGCATCCGCAACTTCACCTGCATCGGCAATGCATCAACTTGCCGAAGACCTCCTACACGATATTGCTTTGGTGTTTGTGGGGAAAGAGAGAAGAAAAAATAATGTCAGAGTTTTGGGGGCAATATGTGCGTGGTCTTAGGTGATGCTCTGTGTTAGTCGTGTCGTGCCTTCCAGAATTCAACTACGTGTCGTGCTTAAATGCCATTAGATTGACGTTTTATGGTGGGAAAGTCCATTCCATTCCTACTATATCCAATTACAGCTATGTTTTCATATTCGGATCAAGAATCGACTCAGCCGAATTCAAAGGTCAGGGTCAATGGGTTCAATCGGAATCAATAAGAGGTCGAATCGAATGACATCATAAACACGTCTTATATATATTAATAATATATAAAAATAATAATGTATAAAATTTATCCATAAATTTGCGGTTTACAACTTCATTTACATATTTGATAAGTTTAGATTTAGTTCAAAAAGATTCAATTTAAAAAAATTTAAAAATTATAGATAAAAATGTAACTTGAAAATAGATTAGATTATCCTACACTTTGTTAAAATCATAGTGATAAAACCCGGCCCGGCCCGGCGGTCGAACCGGTCAAACCGGTGAACCGGCCATTGGGCCGGGCCGAGTCTTAAATTAGATCGTTTGGGTTACGGAACCGTTGACTAGTCAACGGCCCGGCGATCGGACCGGGCTAACCGGGAAACCCGGCCGGGTTTGTCCACGGACCGTTCCCGGCCCGTTTTTGGTGAAAAAATTTTATTGCCTTTGTCAAGGATCGAACCTTGGACCTCCACCAATCAATAATGCATGCTTACCACTAAGCTACTCCGAAATTTGTTAATAAAAGGTCTTTATTATAATATATATATGTTTTTTCAATTCTATCTTTCTTTCTCTAAAATAAATTTATTTGAAATCTTTTAATAAAAATTAGTACCCTCCAAACTCTATAATTTATAAAATTAATTTCAAAAATAACACATTACATAATTCATTTCAAAGATAAATATTAATTTAATAATTTTTTACACTTAAAATTCATCAATAAGCTACATTATTACACTAAATATAGATAAAATTTTACACTTGAAGTTTGGTGTATTACTAAATAACTTTATATTTAATTGATTCTTATATGAATTAATTATTTTATAGCAAATTAAATTAAATGAGCTTTTACTATGGCATTATTTATTACAATTTATATCATATATCTTATATAAAAAATTATGAAATATAATATTTAAATATATTTAGTGACCCACCGGTTCAACCACTCACCCACCGGTCGAACCAGTAACCCGTTGACCCACCCCCTTCGCCGGGTTCCTTCCCGGGTTGGGTTTAATAACTATGGTTAAAATAATGAAGGGCCAAAATGCAATTAACATAAACTTTTAGGGTATTCATCAATGCTAACAAATATCAAATCTAATCCATCTTCCTTATATTTTCTCTGCCAATTCCTCCTCCTTCTACTCTCTCTCTCTCTCTCTCTTTCTCTCTCTCATTTTTCTTCTTCTTTCTCTATATCAGAACTCTATTTTTTTTTTCTTTCATCACACACAATAAATAAACATGAAAGCTTTCTCTTTTCTTCATTCTTTTTTTTCCCCTCCTCTCTCTTCTCTTTTCTTTTTTCTATTTTTCTTATTTAATATGAAATCTTTCGAGAACTTAAAGAATTTAGAGATGGAATTTTTCTCTTGAGTTGGGTTCTTAATGAAACATTTCAGATTCAATAAAAAGAACAATTCACCTAAGCCATGAATTAATCTCAAATTCAAGCAAAGAAGAGGCATAAATGACAGTAGAGTTGAGAAGAAAATTATACGTGTCTATGGCATAAATCATGCTACAATCTCCAAGTGAATTAGTTGACATTCACCATTTTATTTGGATTTTTTAGTTGTTGGAAAGTTGCAAAGATATGAAACTCTCTACATGGTCAAAGAGTCAAAGGAAAAAAAACCATCAAGATAGCAAAATGGAAAAACCGGTTCTAGCCGGTTTTTGGTCAAACTTGAGTTTTTACTGGGTTTGATTGAGCTTTTGACAACTGGCTTTTGAGGAAGATTTGGACCAAACACTTGGCCGATTTGCAGTTTGACCAATCGGTCTGGTCTAAGTTTGAAAACATGGATTTCAGGATAAAGAGGGTCAGGCCATAGAGAAATTCCCTTCATGCCATTGATATCGTCGTACTTTCTTTGTTGGACTGTTCCAAATTATTTGTCACCTCTGTAAATTGGCTAACATATTTGTATTTAATTTCTCCATTTAGTCATTGCTCATTAGACACTCCGTAAATGTTCAATGCATGTGCCATTTTATGGGCCTACAGATTATTATCAAGGAAACTAAAACAACTTTTGTAGTATGTAACAGTTACCCAGAAACTAAAACCACAATAATCTAAGATTTGGTAAAATTTTGAAAACTATTGGTAAAACTTTCAATATCTAGGATTTGAATAAAACACGGGATTGAACAAGTATCATGCCCCACAATTCTTTACGTGCTAGTACAGCACTTAGCTTTTCATGAAACGAGAAATGGCACATCAAGTTTCAAATTCTATTCTCTGTTAATACAAATTGCAATTCATGGAGTGCGACAAACTTTACAAGATGGAAAGAGTAATACTTACTACATATTTTTTTGTTCTTGGCTTGATTTGTCCTCATAAATAAAATCATTGTATTGATTTAGTGAAGAAAAACAATTAGTCCAAGCTCAAACTGCAACTATTATAAAATCTTCAACAATTACATAAGTGGAAAGCAACTAAAAAAGAGAAAGGACAACACTCTCTATAGTTTCAAGAAAGAAACCAGCTAGAATGTTGTTTATTAGGCACTTACAACATTACAATGTAATACAGCCCAAAGTAGTAAGCAAACTAATTAATTTTGCAAAACACAGTATATTATTACATCACAAATACGCTTCTGAAAGGTAAATTCACTGGAGAACTGCCCTGCTGACAATCTATTCGTTCTCCGAAATCTCAATACGCAATCCCTTGCGGAAACGAACACCAATAGGTATCCGGATTTTGTCTCCTTCATCGATAACTCTCCAGCTGAAAATTCAAATTATACAAGCTTTTTGATCAGTTATCATTTTCTTCTTGCAATCGTACATATTAAAAAACCGAAGAAGTTAAGTTGACATCAATTTATAATATATTAGAATTAGCTTCTATATATATTTAAGCAAAGATGGCGGGAATTGTGATTTAGAAACCCTTACGTATATTTTGTGGCCATGTAATGCAGAAAAATTGACATCTGCAACTTTGCAAAGTCAGCACCAACACAAAGCCTCACACCTCCACCAAATGCCATGAAATTTTTTGATCCCGTATGCAATTCTTGGCCCTTTTGATTGAAATAACAGCAGGGAAAACCTAAATTATTTTTGCTTGATTTTGTATAACTTTTGTTCTGCAATTTTATATTTCTTGTGTGTAAATTACTTGAATCTGTCAATAATTAAATTACCTCCCATCGCCATGGGTTAAATTCATAGGGGTTGTCGTATCGATTAGGATCCAAATGAATTAATGCTGGACAAACCATTATCTTCCAACCAGCAGGAATTGTATACCCTACAAATCATTCGTACTTATTAGTCAAAACTATAAGTTATAATGGAGGAAAGGAAGAACAAAGGAAACAAATTGTTTATTTCTATAGTTTTACTCCCATGAAAAAGATGCCCAACCCAAGTTACTAAAGAGAGTTTTTATTTTCTTTTTTTCTGTAGGAGAAAGGCATCATGGGTTCAAAATAAAGAAAGTGTGATAAATGATTTTCAAGAAGATGCCAAATGACAGATTGAAGTATACCTTTTATTTCAACATCCTTGAGAACTTTGCGAAAAATCCCAGGGGCAACATTTATAACCCTAACTACTTCATTTATAACCTACAGCAGACAACAAAACTTAATATGTAAATGGTGTAGCTCACTATATGATTCAAATGCTAGATACAATGAAATGTCTGGTTAATTGAAACGTACCATGTGCGTGAAAGTCATAGACTTGTACTCTTTCCATGAAACACGAGAATTTTTAGTTTCTCGCATTTTAAGAATTTTTTCATGCTCTCTCTGCAAAAATGATTAGCTATTTAAGTGTGAAGTAATCTTATACACTCTGTTAACATAAACATCCAATGATGATAATGTACACTGTCAATGTATAGAGAATATTAATCCTTTAAGTATTGAACTTGGACAAGAATTGGAGAATTAGAGGGTAGATACGGATAACAACGGGAGTAATTGTTTTGGAAAGTCATGGACCTTTAGTTCAGCCATAACATTTGGATGGTCATTTAGAAACCTCAGGGTCAAAGTCATAACTGTTGCAGTTGTTTCATGGGCAGCAAACAGAAACAAGAATAGTAAGTCCATCGCAATTTCTTCATTCAAAAAGGTGTCTTCTTTCTCTATTTCCTCAAGTAAATGATCCACAAGGACTCTCTTAGTGTGATTGCCTGAGCGCCTCATCTCAAAGATGTCCTTGATGACCTTCATTGCTTTCTTACGTCCCTGGAAAATGAAAATCATATAGTTCGCTCAATCTGATACAGCATATATGAAAGCATTTATATTTTACATATATTTATAATGAAAATCTTTTTTTTTTTTAGGAATAATGGACTTCGATCTTTCAATATAAAAAGAATTCCAAATGACGAACAACCACTACAATTGATTACTTGTAAGCAAGCATAGAATGCTGTTCCAGGGAAGTTGAGAGGAATTGAGATCAAGCCATCCATGAGTGTCGAATAACATTCTCTCAATTTATTCCGAGCCTTGCTTTCTTCATAGCCAAGCATCTTCTCGGCAGCAAGTTTAAATAACAACTGTAGAAAATGAGATTGTTAATTACTACTTTTCATGCAATGCTCTGTACGTATAGTCCAAATTCATCCTGATTAATATAATCAAATAGTAGGATGCTAATTAATTTACCTCATCAGTTCCATCTTTAGCATCTACTTTTCCAAGTTTACTCCAAGAACTTAGATGCTCTCGAGTGTTGTCAACCATGTCGTTTATCATCTTCTCTCTTAAGGCTTCAGGGCTAACAAGCTTCAACATTAAGCTCCTGAGGTACTTGTGGAAGTCTCCATGATAGCCAGCTAAACCTTGTTTCCCAGTTATCCGGGTGAAACTCTCACTATAGCAGAGCTCGAAACCATTATTTTCTTGCTGGAAGACACGGTAGTTGACTTCAGCATCAGTTGATATAACGACCGACTGCCCAAGTATATTCGTGCGAAAAATTGGCCCGTACCTGAAAATTCACAAAGAAACAAAGAAAAGACAAGACAAAAGCACAAATAAAATGCAAAAGAATATTAGAGGAGTTGACAAAAAGGGTAATATAGTATATCTTACTCCTGATGATGTTATGTTACAAATGACATGATGATATGTTACAAAGGCAAATTTCAGGGTTTGTTTGGATAGTAAACTTATTCCAAATAATATTTCGCTTGCATCATAAACACATTTTTCAGCTCATCTTTTTATATTTCCAACCACCTTTTTATCTCACATACATCACATCACAAAAAATACTACAGTAATTATTCTAAATAATACTCTATTCAAATAAACCCGTCTCTTAATCTATTACTACTACTGCTGTAATATTGTTAAAATATATATGTGATAGCTAGTCAAGAAGTGGTTAGATAACCAGGAGTATTGAGGTTGGTCCAACAGTTAGAAGAGGGCTATTAGAATTTTTTTCATTATTTAATTCAAGATTTGAATACTGTATCTGATAGATTGGAATGAGAATGGTGTACAGAGGGATAGGAGGTAAAAAAAAAAGGGTTACGTATACCTTGAGATTCTTTTTTGTAGGAATGGTGGGAGATCATCTGTTGCATAAGGGGTCAAGTACTCAATTGTTTCTCCTATAATTGGTAGTCCCATCGAACCTGGTGGTAATACCCCGTTACACTTGGGGTTTCTCCACCTATACACCCAGTGGCTGAATAGCATAACAATAAGAGCAATGATAGCACAAGCAAACAACATGGTCCTTGGTTGTTGCACCCGAAACGCAAGGAAAGAAAGGAAAAGAGAGTAGCTAAAATTGTTACTGTTTTAGATAAAGAGTCGTTGTATAAGGAAATTTGGAAGTTGGAGCTGCTTAAATAGATGGAGAGCGCAAGCTTTGATAACGACGCGCTGTAAGACTATTGGCCATAGACATATTACCTGGTGATCCGAATTTCACAGGAAATTGATGGATCCGAGGCCTCACAATTTGTGTTTCATACAATTTCATATAAGTAGACCGCTAGTATAAATTAGTAGGATTTGGTGCAAATCAAATCCAATTTGATGTAAATCAAGTGCAGTTTAGTATATGTTACCTTATTATTTGGTGTAAATCAGATACACTTCGGTATAAGTTGATTATTGTCATTTAGTATAAGTTGCAATTTGGTATAGATTGAAAATAAATTGTTAATACTACATCAACTTGTACGAAATGGAACTTGTGAAACCCCATTTCTGAAATTGATAAAGAGGCAAAGGAAAAATTGGCTACAGTGAAAGGTTAATGTGAAGACCAATAGTGCTTGGTCAAGGTGGATAGAGAGGGAGCCGGGGCCTCACAATTTGTGTTTCGTATAATTTTGTACAAGTTGACCTTTGGTGTAAATAAATAGGATTTCAGTGTGAATCAAATCCAATTTAATGTAAATCAAGTGCAGTTTAGTGTATGTTAATTTATCAATATTTGGTGATTTTCAATGTGAATCAGATCCAATTTGATGTAAATCACGTGCAGTTTAGTGTATGTTGATTTATTAATATTTGGTGTAAATCAGATACACTTTAGTATGAGTTGATTATTATCATTTAGTATAAATTGAGGGTAATTTGAGATAAATTGAGAGTAAATTATTAATATATACTAACTTGTGCAAAATGGAACTTGTCAGCCCCATTTTCGAGAGGAGAGGCAGCAAAAAATCTATCTTGGACTGGGTCAAAGCCGGTTGCAAATTCAAGCCACGCGTGCAAGCTAGAAACCTTCTAGAAGTAAAAGGTAAAGCTCCCTCCTGGAAATTTGATCACTATAAAGGACAAGGACTTCTCCTCACGTATATTCTTTCTTCATTTCCTACAATACACACACACACACACATATATATATATATATGACATGTATCTTTAATTATTAACAAGGATTAAAATTAGTAAAATTTAAAAGAGATAATTTTAGAAACCTCCCTTAAGGTTTCTACTAATTTCAGACAGCTTCCCTCACGTTTTGAAAATTACATATACTTTCCCTAGAACATAGATTTGGGTTTCACCTTGATAATGTAAGACCAAAAAAGTATATGAAAGTCCAAAATTGCCCTCATCTAACAGTTGTAAAAAGTTAAGAATACACTTGTATAATACCAAAATTATGAGTTTTATTGCTTAGCTAATGTCTTGATATTTTCCATCCCCATAATTTTCTATATCCACCCAAATTTTCAAACTTTTTTCACTTCTTCTTCAAATCAAACTCTTTGTCTTAGATGTCAAAATTCACCATTGCAATTCTTAATTTACAATCTTTATCTCTCTATAGGTTTCTTCCATATATTGCTCACCAAACCCTTGGTTATACAACTCACAATCCTTACCTTTTTTCCTCTCAAACATCCAAGTTCTCAATTTCCAAAATTCTTCTAACCTCTGCTGTCAACATTTGGGTTGGTCATCCTAAATCAACCCATATTTTTTTCTCTGAATTGACACAGTTTTATTGAGAGCAAGTTTGATGTCCATTAAGATGATCCAGGCAAAATATCAACAAAGTGTAAGGTTGGAGTAGTAGTTTTAATACAGTCTATCAAATTATACTTTCCCGTAATCCAATAGATTTTTTATATTCAATGATATGAACAATTGGGTTGTTGATGGTGATGATTGCTTCCATCATCATCAACTGCAGTGACATATTTGAGTGATGGAAGGAAGGAGGCATCTTTCTTGATTATCATATTTGAGTAAAAAAAGGTTATTATTTAATGGTCAAGGCTAAAATAATTTGGCCACAATATATGGCCTGGTTAAGAATAATTGTTTTCCTTTCTTCATTTTCCTTTTTACTGTTATCTTTTCTCTTTTTTATCAATGGTTTATCTTTTGAAAAATTATGAATGTTATTATAACATTGTCTATCATCAAGGGAGGTAAGTGTTATATTGAAAATCTCAAGGGAGCTCAGTGAAATTGTCAGAAACCTCAGGGAAGGTTTCTGAAATTATCTCAATTTAAAATGATCTTGTTACTTCTTAGTAAATAAAGACACGTGTCATTCATCCAAATGTACATTGTAGGAAATTGAGAGAGAATTCATTGGAGAGAAACCAAATTCTTCCCTATTGCCTAAACATCCATTGCCCCCGCACCTAATCCGCCCTGCGCGCCTAAGGGAAAAAAGTTTATAATGAATAAAAATATATATATAATTAGTAAAAAATATATTTAATAATTTAGTATAAATATATAATTAGTAAAAGGTATATCATTAATAAAAAGTATATAATAGAATAAATATATCATTAATAAAAAGTGTAATTAGTCATTTAGTATAAACGTATTAGTATAACTAATCAATAATTTATATTAGTATAAATATATAATTATTAGTATGACTGATAATATTAATTATATTACATCTACATACTATGATATCTATAACTAATAATATAATTATTTTAATTAAAATATTAAATATGTTATACATGTAATTATAATATATTCTTATGATTTTTCTTAATGCTTGATTTTCATCTTTTTTTGTCTTTTGTGGGATGAAAAGAAACAACATTTGTTGGGTTTTGTAGAAATAGTTTGATTTTAGTTAATTTAGAAAATGACAATGTGCGTTAAATCATTAAATAGTGATGATTGGCCTCTCATTTGTAGACATTCTTCATCGTCTTTTTTTTTAAGTTGGTTGTTTTTAATTTTCATTTCTAGAAATAGTTTAAATGACAAAGGTGATGCCTTATG